TCATCTTTAGGAACTGGTCTGAGATTAATATGATAAATATTTTCAATCATTTGAGTTATGTCTTTCACAAGAAAATACTTAACATTTATTACCAGCACAGGGAGTGAAGACTTTTGCAAGGCACTGTAATATAATAAAATAATAAATAGAAACAGAAATGGTTGTTTCTAAAGAATTTAAATTGGTAAAACATTCCAAAAACAGAATATTAATTTTAGTAATTCAAAAATAATGATACAGTTTCCTTGTTCCAGTTGCTTTGTTTTCAACAGTATGTAATGTCTATTCTGCCTGAAAGTATATTGCACTAAAAAATAGCATCCATGTTGAAAGGACTAGTGTTGTATTAACCTTTACTGATCACATTGAAGTTTTCTAGTTATAACAGCCTACCAATGCTTTGAGAAAACAAAGCTCACAATGTGATTTTGTCAACTGGACAGAGACACCAAGCTTATCTGTTGAATTCAGGCACACTTTCTTGGTTCTTGGTGAGAAGATCATTCTTGAAAATCATCGTGTTTTTGATCTACAGATATTAATCCTAAGAAAATGAAATCTCTGGGACTAAGCATGACCTAGTAGAGAAGCGACTGTAATTCTGTCTGCACAAGTGCACATACTGTGTTTCCTGTTTGTTTGTTTGTGTGTTTGATATAATGAAAGGTTTGTTCACTTATTTACATCTATCCAGTCTTGTTGTTTTACACTCAATGAACCTCCGTCAAGCGTTCAAATTCAAAACATTCCCATTATTTTTCAAGTTGAGCAGTTCATGAACCCCGGGGAAAACTCTATCGATCAGTTGTTCCTGTGATTCGACGATTGTGCTGAGTGAAGGAGGGATGTTTATGAGACCACCGGTGTTTTCCAATGTCCCATCCCCAACTTTCAAAAGAACCTCAGAAAACTCCTCAACCCCGTGTTCTTCCCCAAAACGAACTCTCATATTTCCAGTTAAGGAGAGACGCTCAATGGTCGACCACATAAAAGATCTTTTTAGAGAGGCATTGGTCTCGTCCGCCCGCATCCCACACACCACAAAGGGCAGAGTCTGTCTGAAATCTCCAGAGAACAACACCGTGACTCCCCCATAGTCTTGTTGTTGTTTCTTATGTCCTTTAAGGTGCGGTCAATGCCTCAATACTCAGTTTGGGGGCCATGGTGCATTCGTCCCACACTATAA